TATTTGCACTGTGTAGCACTTTGAGATTTTTCTTAATGACCACATGATTTTTATGGTTGATTTTTATCTTTGATTTTATTTGCACTGTGTAGCACTTTGAGATTTTTCTTAATGACCACATGATTTTTATGGTTGATTTTTATCTTTGATTTTATTTGCACTGTGTAGCACTTTGAGATTTTTCTTAATGAAAAGTGCGGTACAAATTGGATTTATTATTATTATTATTATTATGAATGAGCCCAAATGTGAAAATACCAAACAGTCGTGTAAATATGCAGTTATAGTCTAAAAGACATAAAATAAAGGAATAGTTTTTTCCTCCATCTACGCTTGTCCCGTTTATAAATCTTAAAGCAGATAAAATCTATATTTCCTGTATCTCAATGTTTTAACAATATTTCTAAGCTTTGTAACAGAAGATAAATGACTCATTCAGAGGTTAAGGACTGATTTATTTTAGTGAAGATTTTCCTAAACCAAAACTCATTCTAATGATGGTCTGTTTTCTGTTTGTTTCCACCAGCAGATAAACCCACAGCCTCACTGACAGCAGATCAGGAAATAATACCACTAGGGGGCAGAGTAACACTGACCTGCTCTGTGTCCAGCTCTGCTGTGTGGAAGTTTGACTGGTTCAGAAATGGGCAACAATATTCTGTAGTCCAGACCAGAGGAAACATTGAACCATATGGAGTCATCAGCATCTCAGAGGGAGGTCTATACAGCTGCAGAGGAGGAAGAGGAGATCCAGTTTTTACAACAGAAACAAGCAAAGAAATCTCTATTAGGAAAACTGGTGAGTTTAGCTCTACATTTTAGAAAAATGCTTTCTTCAACTCTCATCTGTTTATCAGGGATGTTTAAGTAACCATTGTTGATAATAATGAGAGCTTTAAATAAAATGAAAGTAATAATTATATGATGGTAGCTCCATTAGCTGATTGTTTGAATTTAAAGGATTTTATTTACATTTCAATGGTAGCAATGAAGATAATTCAGGAAATACATTTTTATGTAACACTCTAAAAAACAAATAACTATTGTGAACAGTTTCTAAGCCAACAGTGATCCAACAACCCAGTGGGTCTGATGTATACAGTGGAGAGAAAGTCACTCTGAGATGTGAGATCTATGGAGGTGGAGGAACTCAGTGGACGTATGAATGGAGACCAACCAGCAGAAACTCTCCAACATCCAGTGAATACAGAATCAACAGAGTCTCTATGTCTGACAGTGGAGAATACAGCTGTAGGGCTGAAGGAGATCATCAGATAACAGAATGGAGTGATGCTTTATCACTGACAGTGAGATGTGGGTAAAATGTTAAAGATTTTCTAATTGTTTTGATCTTAAATAAATAATTAAACTATTATTACTTGTAGTTTTGACCACAGACTAAAGATAAGTGTAAAACATAATGTTATACGTAATAAAATGGTACAAATTCTACTTTAATAAATGCAAAATAAAATAACTGTAATCTATAGTCTTTGAGTATATTTTGTTTCATTTTTTATTATAAATAATTAAATTAGATATAAAACTACAGTCATTGTTTAAAGATTCTTAGATGTGGTAAAAATGTTTTTTTTTTTTTTTTTTTTTTTTTTTTTTTTTTTTACAAAAGTAATATTGATGATGTGATATTTATTTACCTTTTGTTTTCAACCTAACAGCAGATAAACCCAGAGCCACACTAAGAGCAGAGGAAACAATCATACCACTAGGGGGCAGTGTAACACTGACCTGCTCTGTGGATGGATCTGCTGACTGGAAGTTTGACTGGTTCAGAAATGGGCAACAATATTCTGTAGACCAGACCAATGGAAACATTGAGCCATACAGAGTCATCAGCATCTCAGAGGGAGGTCTATACAGCTGCAGAGGAGGAAGAGGAGATCCAGTTTTTACAACAGAAACAAGCAATGAAATCTCTATTAGCAAAACTGGTGAGTTTGTTGCCTTTTTACATCTTGAAACTGTTTAACCAGGAAACTTTATTTCTGTTCTCCATCTGTTGATATTTGAGTTTTTTTTTTATATTTATTATCATATTTTGGAATAAAGAACCGAGAATTACAGAATTCTCGGGGAAGAGATAAATAATTATGAAAACAAAAAGTAAATGCCTCTTTTAATCTTTATCACAGTGGAATAGAGTTTTTTCTGAAAACTAGAAGCATTTCAGATACAGTTTGTCTGTTTGATGAGAATATAATTTTTTTGTTAAATGTTTATTGTAGTCTGCCCTCTTTTGAAGTCTCTCTCTACTAGTCTTTTTGTACAGATTTCCAGCAAAACCTTCAAAAAAGCTTTGTTTTCACTCAAACAAATTCAAACCAAATTCAGACAGCTTTAGTAAAAACAGATATTTCCAGGTCTGAGGGTAGAGAAAAGTTCTAACCTCACAGACATGATAACTGGTCCAAGTAACCTGTAACACATGATGCTAGAAAACTTCCTACAATTATGGGGTCAGATATTAAAGTGATTTAATTCATATTGTTAGTTTATATGTTGACAGACTGGTAGAAATGGTTATCTCAGTATTCAATGTGATTTCTTGCTGCTTTATATCTGTCTCTCTAATTCCTAATGTTGTTTAGCTATGAAACATCTAGCTTCTGCGATTTGGATAAATGTTCTAGTTTTATTAGAAAATAACAAATTAAATAGATAAGATTTTTTTATTTCTATCACTCCTTAATGAGGGAGTATTATTTTTATTCCATATCAATTAAGTTTACTGTATTTTTTATTTATATACATTTCTATCAGATTTCTAATTTTGTATTATTCATTCCAGTCTCTAAGCCCACTGTGACCCTTCAATCCAACTGGTTCCAGATATTCAGAGGAGAGAAAGTCACTCTGAGATGTGAGATCCATGGAGGTGGAGGAGCTCAGTGGACGTATGAATGGAGACCAACCAACAGAAACTCTCCAACATCCAATGAATACAGGATCACTGCAGCTACTCAGTCTGGTGGTACATACCAGTGTAGGGCTAGAGGAGACTACCAGATAACAGACTGGAGTGATGCCCTCAGACTCACAGGTAGAGGTGAGTCAGACTGTCTTCTATAAAAGCATAAAATAATTATATTATTCTAATCTATAAAAAACAGCTCAGGATTTTCCCAGAATGAGAAAACATTACACATGAGTGTAAATATTCTGTTAAAATAAAATATATTCATCCAAATAATATGAAAGAAAATACAAATTCTGTTTATTCAGGCATAATTTGTGGAAAACTTTGAGAAATGTTTAAGATTTCTGAGAAAATAAAATGGTTTGTTAGTATATAGGCTGGATATATCCATTATTTTTCACCATCTGTGTCTCCATCAGATAAACCTCAGCCTGTCCTCTCTGTGTCTCCATCAGATAAACCTCAGCCTGTCCTCTC